CGTGCGGGAAATTGGACACGTGTACAGGAGGAGGAGGAGGAGGAAGGAAAAAAAAATACCCCACACAGCATGAACTATATAACCCATATCATTATTTGTAACCCATATTTTTTAGGACCCACCTTGGATCCATTGGTTATATATTAATAAACCGATGTCGCAATGGATGACATTAGGCTTGATTCAGGCGTAGTAGTAGCTGTGTTGGCCATTTAGCAAATTCAAACAAAAATCCACCCAACAGTGATACCTTTATGGGCCCAACCAAAATGCACAATATACTTGTTGCAAGCTTTCGAAGCTCCATGGGCTTCTTCTTCATCAGGCAAGATGTTACAAACTAAACAGGAGAAAAAAATTGAAGATGTTAGTCAGATGCCGGCATTTTGATGTCTCTGTCCTTAGTTAAGATGTTAAGTGGAGGGTATCCTTTGCAGGCTGGCCATGTGGATATTGGAGGATACTCTCTCTTTACCATCTCAACTAAGGACAGAAACATCAAAATGCAGGCATCTGACTAAGATCTCCAATTTTTTCTCCTGTTTGGTTTATAATATCTTCCCTGATGAAGAAGCCCATGGAGCTTCGAAAGCTTGCAACAAGTATATTGTGCATTTCCAAACAAAAATCCACCCAACAGTGATACCTTGATTGGCCAACCCAAATGCACAATATACTTGTTGCAAGCTTTCGAAGCTCCATGGGCTTCTTCTTCATCAGGCAAGAGGTTACAAACCAAACAATTGGAGAAAAAATTGGAGATGTTAGTCAGATGCCTGCATTTTAATGTCTCTGTCCTTAATTAAGATGGTAAATGGAGGGTATCTTTTGAAGGCTGACCATGTGGATATTGGAGGATACTCTCTCTTTACCATCTCAACTAAGGACAGAAACATCAAAATGCAGGCATCTGACTAACATCTCCAATTGTTTTTCTCCTGTTTGGTTTATGATATCTTCCCTGATGAAGAAGCCCATGGAGCTTCGAAAGCTTGCAACAAGTATATTGTGCATTTCCAAACAAAAATCCACCCAACAGTGATACCTTGATTGTCCAACCCAAATGCACAATATACTTATTGCAAGCTTTTAAAGCTCCATGGGCTTCTTCTTCATCAGGCAAGAGGTTACAAACCAAACAATTGGAGAAAAACCATTGGGGATGTTAGTCAGATGCCTACATGTTGTTTCAGTCTTTAGTTA